GAGAGAGAGAGAGAGAGAGAGAGAGAGAGAGAGAGAGAGAGAGAGAGAGAGAGAGAGAGAGAGAGAGAGAGAGAGCTGGCACGTGGCACTTCGCACAACGGTACCGTATCGACGACGACGGACAACGGCGGCGACAGTGACGACGGGCACCTCGGCGATGGCGGGCAGCGACGGGCGTCGACGGCGGGAGCACGACCTCGGCGAAGGCGGGCAGCGACGGGCGTCGACGGGGCGGGCAGCAACGGGCGTCGACGGCGGGAGTGCGACGGGCGTCGACGGGGCGGGCAGCAACGGGCGTCAACGGCGGGAGTACTACCTTGGCGCGGCTGCACTTCGACGACACTTCACTGGGCAGCGGCGGGAGCAGCTTGATGCGCGCCAGAAAAAATTTGTGCGGGGGGGTTGGGAGGCTCCCAAGGCCCAGAAATGTGGAAACAGGCCTCCCCCCCCCCCCCCCCCCCCCCCGCTGGGCCCGCCCGACATCGAACCAGGGGACCCAACCGGCCGTGCCGCCCGAGACCCCTGCCGGACAGAGGCTGGGCCGTCGGGCGGCCCGGAATTTAACGCAGCTGATAATCGCATTTCGTTTTACCTGAAAATTTCTGATATTAGTATTTCGTTTTCACGCAACAAATATCTGAAAATTTCTGATAATCGCATTTCGTTTTATCTGAAAACTCCTGATAGTAGCATTTCGTTTCTCTGATATTCGCATACATAGCCGAAAATTTCTGATGTTAACATTTCATTTTCTAGGCATACTAGGATAACGATAGAGGTGGTCGGTCATATTCTCGGAAACCAGATTTATACTTTTCTGACAATCGAATCTCCATTCTATCTCGCATTTTTTTTTTCAAAACCGAAATCTTGCGAAGCCTACCAGCATTTCGTTTTAGGCATATTAGGAGGTTGCCATATTCTCAGAAACTGGATTTAGTTCTTTTTTGAAAATCGCATCTCTACTCTATTTCGCAAATTTTTTTTTTTCAAGATCGCATTTTTTGTGAAAGCCGAAACTTTGCGGAACCCGGCCTTGATCTCGCTCATAGTACTCTTCTGACATACCTCACTCATAGCAGATCGACAGATGTACAGAAAAAAAAGAAAAAAAAAAGGGGTGATCCTCTTCTTTTATTTTTTTATTTATTTTATTCTGTTGATTAAGATCGAGAGGAAAGTATAGCTTGGTTGGTTAGCTACCTGCATTTTCCCTCCCACCCACCCCTTTGCCTGCATTCCCGGTTTGGTACAGTGCCATGTCAGCAACAGTGCCACGTCAGCAGTGCCATGTCAGCAACAGTGCCATGTCAGCAATGCCACGTCAGCAGTGCCATGTCAATAGTGCCACGTCGCAACAGTGCCACCTCAACAGTGCCACAGTGCTGCGTCAGCAGTGCCCCGCCACCATGACGGGCTCAGTTCTGGGCATGCTAGGCCAACTGGCCAACGAGTCCATTGCCGAGTACCGACAGCGTTTTGAAGCTCAGCTCACATTGATCAAGGCTGAGGAACAACGTTAGGCGGCAGCCGAGGCTGCCCGCCTACACGCTGAAGCAGAGGCAGCTACCCAGGCACGCCACAAGGAGGCCCAGGATCTGCTACAGCGGCTTCAGGCCGAAGCAGACGCAGATACCCAGGCACACCACAAGGAGGCCCAGGATCTGCTACAGCGGCACGAAGCCGCCAGCATCGAAAAGCTCAAGTTCCGGCATCTCGAACCTTCCGAGAGCTCATCGAGACCAACAGGGCTGCTGCACACGAGAAGACAGCGTGGCAGCCAGCCCATGTGGAGAACGGAAAATTTGGTCCGCGTCCGCATCATGTCGGTGCAGTCCAACCGGACACCATTGTGGAAGACCCGGCAGCCACCCAAGCATCAAGTGAGGGAGATCAGGTGGCCGCCGTGCAGCCGCGAAGCAACAACTCTCGGGAAAAGGGAAGGCGAAAACCGCATCGCCGGCCGGAAATGGCCAGCCAGTACCACAACTCGGAAAACTAAGCTGCGCGGGAGGTGAGGCGACTCCACCTCTCACTCCGCCAGATTCGGCCGCCTTGCTAGCGGCCTCCTACACATCTGGGGAGGAGGCGCATGTCGCAAGTCCTCGGTAAACTTAAGAGGATTACGCTGTCCACTTGGTCCCACCATTGGACCAACCACTCCACGTGCAACAATCCACCGCATGCACGGTTTCACCACCATCGGCAACCGATTCGGCAGCTTTGCCGCCATCTATCGCCGGGGATTCGACGTCATGGTCAAGACTTGAAGAGCTCGACCCGTTGACGTTCGCGGACTTCCAATGGATGCCCGTTTCCCCCACCGGTCGATTGCCGAAACCGCATTGCAACGTGTTCAAGGCACAATTGCGGGTTACTTGCACACTGCAGTACCAGCTCCGTTGATGCACCGGTGGATGCCCGCTTCCTTGGGCCACGTTTTGGACGGAGATGGCATTAAGCCTGAGGAGAGCAAGATAGCGGCAATTAGAGACTGGCCGACGCCCCGCACATTGAATGAATTGCGGTCGTTCCTAGGCCTAGCTAATTATTACAGGAAGTTCGTGAGGAACTTCTCCACTATCGCCGCTCCCTTGCGCAGGTTGCTAAAGAAAGAGGCAATCTGGCAGTGGGATAAAGACTGTACATCTGCGCTTAAGAAACTGAAGCGCGCGTTAATAGAGTATCCTGTCCTCAAGGTAGCAGATTCGTCCTTGCCATTTGTCGTCACCACGGACGCAAGTCAGTATTGTATAGGCGCCGTGTTGCAGCAAGACGACGACAATGGCTATAGACCCGTAGAGTTCATATCCGCGAGGATGCCCTCAGAGAAGGTAGCCACCTCGACGTACGAGAGAGAACTCTACGCTCTCAGGCAAGCCTTAGAGCACTGGAAGCATTACCTGCTTGGGAGGCACTTCAAAGTATACTCAGACCACGAAACTCTTAGATGGTTAAAGACCCAGGCCAAGATGACACCTAAGTTGACTATGTGGGCCGCTGAGATAGATCAGTATGACTTTGAGCTCAAACCGTTCAAAGGCAAGTACAATGTAGTTGCGGATGCTCTAAGTAGGAGATCAGACTACTTTGGAGCTATAGTGCACTATCTAGATATAGGGAAGGACCTGCAAGAGAAAGTTAGACAGGCATCTGCGCATGACCCTATCTATAGTGACCTCCTCAAGAGAGTTAAGGAGGCCCCAGAGACCGAACCACACTACCGCACTACAAAAGGACTATTTTTTTAGAAGACTGATGTAGTAGACCGCCTGTGTGTCCCCAACAGCGAGGAGATCCGTAGTTTGTTCTTAGGGGAAAGCCACGACACAAAGGGACACTTTGGTTGGCAAAAGACTTTAGCCAACCTAATGCGTGTGAATACCTGGCCAGGAATGAAAGTTGACTGCATAGAGTATGTTCGCAGTTGCAAAGTTTGCCAGAGAAACAAGACCAGTATGCATGCCCCTCTAGGTCTTCTCAGACCCTTGCCTATCCCAGACCGACCTGGAGATTCAGTCTCCATTGACTTTATGGATGCCGGTGTCAAGAGTAGTCACGACAAGAGCCAAGTCATGGTCATAGTTGATAGATTCAGTAAATATGCAGTTTTTGTTCCTTTGCCCGCAGAGGCACGTACGAAATTAGTCATTCAGAAGTTTTTTTATCATTGGATTAGTGATCACGAGGTTCCTTTGTCCATTGTTAGTGATAGAGACACCCGCTTCACCAGCCAGAACTGGCAGGAACTAATGAGAGTCTATGGATCCAAGTTGCTGATGTCATCTGGCCGTCATTTAGAGACCAACGGTCAGACAGAACAGATGAACAAGATCCTGCAGCAAGTTTTGCGCATGTATATTAGACCGGATTAAGTCAATTGGAATGAGATGCTGCCCAAGGTAGCCAACGCATACAATAACAGCGTGCATTTGTCTACCTGTCGCGCTCCCAACGAGTTACACAAGTCCTTTAGACCCCGCAGACCGTTTGAAGGACTTACCTGGGATCAGATTCACAGGCTGCCCGGTACAAGGGAGTTCGTGATACAGCATGAGAAAGAGTTAGCAACTGTTGTTGAAAACCTCAGGAAGGCCCAACACCGCATGATAGAACAGGCTAATAAGCACCGTCGCCCATCGCAGTTTCAGGTAGGCGACCTAGTCTGGGTCAAGTCTAAAGAGTTTGCACCTGAGGAGAACATCTCGGAGAAGTTACTGCGTGCATATAGAGGACCATGGGCGGTTCTAGAAGTTAAGGGCGGAGAGGATGGACCGTCCTACACTATAGAGATTCCAGCACACCTCCACACCTACCCTGTGTTCCATGCTTCAAAGTTGTTGCCGTGTGTCACAAGTCCACAGTTCCCTTCAAGCAGATTCATGATCCCTCAGGATATGGATGGAAGATATGACATTGACGACATTGTAGATGAAGATGTGTTTAAGACAGGAGAAAGAGGTCGCCCACAGAAACAGTATAAATTCCGGTTTGGTTATCAGGAACCGGAAGACGACCGCTGGTTTACTAGAACATAACTTCTAGAAACAACTCCCGACGTAGTTAGAGCCTATGAGCGT